CAAAACACATCAAAGGCCCCAACCACTATCATGCTTGATCAAGAGGCAAGGAATGCATGCACAACGTAATGCAACCTAAGCATGCAAGCAAGGCTAATGCAACATGATTATGCAATGCATCTAATATGCAATAGGCACACAACCTCAACATGTAAGCATACATGGCATACAACAGCATGCGATGATGGACTTAAACTAACATGGATAGCTCGCAAGCATGCCAAAATTAGTGGCCATTAGATGAAAATGAGACAATCGAAATGCGTGCACACATGCACGCAAACCGAGGACCGAACCTACGGCATAAAATGCGACTCTACCAAGGCATGGCAAGGGATGCAATATGGCATACAAACATATGATTTCAGCATTGAAACATGATGCTAAACAGCCCCAGAACATGGAAAAATGGCACCCGATGCATGAGACCAACCCCGAAACTCAAAACTAGGCACATGGAATGACTTATAGCTATACAAAGCATGCATTATTTGATCATGAAGTATAAAGAAAGAGCTAAGGCAGTCCCAAAACATGAACATTTCCAGTTCAAAGCATGGCCACAAAGTGCTAGCAAGATGGACTAAAATAGCGTGCAAGATTGGCTAGCAAACATGAGTTATATGGCAAGTATAGGATGCACATGGAATCTCACCAAACCAGAAAAAATCAGTGAATAAAACATGCGAAAATAGGCCCAAATAACCACTGAAATGAGGCCAACACATGCAAAAAGATGAGCTCCTTTGGAGAGCTATGCAACGGATTCTTAGGCACACACAAGATGGACACTTAGCATGGCACAAACAACTCTGAAAATCAAATATGATAGCTCCAAAACTTACCAAATTAACCTTGAAATATGGCTAGGAAATATGCAAGATAGGGTCTCTTTAGAAAGCTAAAAAGACCATCAAACAAGGCAAGGAGAGAGGGGGTCACCCCCCTCTAATTTTGAGGCTCAAAACAGTGTGCTAGCCACTGAAAATCCACTGGATTTCAGTGGCTAGAAGGCCAAACAAAGCATGCAACAAGAGCTTAGGTGTAAGGCTCAAAATAAGAGGCAATCAAGCATACAAGGAAGCATATGACCTCAAACAAGAAAGTGCCCTTAATCAAACATCAAGAGGGCCTCAAAATTTTTTTTTTCCAATTTATAACAAATCTCGAAAACAAACACAAATAGGGCTAATCTATCATGCAAAAATGGCCCTAAAAGAGAGATTGGAGACAAGGGATAGTAGATGGCCTCAAACAGCAATAAGCCCTTCAACAAAGTTAAAGAGGGGCTCAAAACAAGACACTTTACAGTTTATAGCAAGTCTCAAAAATGATCACAAGTAGGGATAAAATATCATGCAAGAAATGGCCCTAAAAGAGAGATTAAACACAAAGGGTGATGAGAATACCTCAAACAGAGAAAAGTCCTTGATCAAACATGGAGATGAACTCAAAATAAGACTATTTACAGTTCAGGTCAAAGCCCAAAAATGTAAGTAACAAGAGCTAAGATAGCATGCAAGATAGGGCAAGAAAATAGGAAATAGGGACTCACCCTTGTAGCACAAGTCTTCAGCAGCTTTTGGTCTGAGAAAGTGTGCTCTTAACCTCTAAAAGTAGCCTCCAAGTTGCTGGAATAGAGTGTGGAGGTAGTAGGCTTGGAGGTGTAGTGTAAATGGTGCAAGGTCAAGGATGTTTGGAGGCTTGGATGAGAGAGATAGGGAGGGTTGTATGCATATAGCTCCAGCTGGTTTTTCTAACCTGGTATAAAGAAGAGGAGAGCTTCCTTTATAGAGTCAATGGACTAAAGCTTCTCTTAGAAGCTTCAAACTAAGAGCAAAGATCCTCCATACACGTGTATGGGGGATCCAGTCTGTGCCCTCCAGCTGGCACAGCTGGCATCCATTCAATCTGTCGAATACATCGGAAGGTCGTCGGCCAGCGAAATTGGTCAGTCGGCTATTTTAAATGGTCGGTCGGCCATCTATTTGGCCGATCGGCTAAATTTATGGCCGGTGGTGGCTGCTAAGGCTAAAAAGTGCCTGGTGGGTGTCCAGATTGAAGCCCCGGAAGTTAGCTTTCCAATGGCGCAAACCTTGCATTAAAATTCCTCCTGTGAAAAAAGTTATGCCCATTTTGGTGAAGCTGCGCAGATTCGATCCAACCGGGATGATACCCAACTTCAACCAATCATATCTCTCCCACCAGGACTTGGCTCTAGGAGACTCTTGAGTGCAAAATGAAGCCCCGGAAGTAAGCTTTCCAACGGTGGTGGCCTCATAGCTAAAATCCAAGTATGTAGATGAATAGGCCCGATTCAGCGAGGGTTGCTCGACCCTCTTCTACCCAGATTCATGGCGAACTTCTCCCGAACTAGTTTTCTTCTCTCCTTTCCTCTTTTCTTCAACTCCAAACCCTTAAAAAAAGTGTTTTGAAAGATTTTCAAAGATTTCATCTCTCTTTCATTCATGTCCAACTTGTCCTTGCTCGGTTTACCGAAAAGCGCAACATTTACCGAAATGTGAGCGTCGGAACATCGTAGGAATTTTATTTTCAAAACATTTTGAAAGAAAGGATTTTAAGATCTAAAATCTTTTGATCAAGATTGTTTTGGTCCAAAAGGGGTATGGAGTTGGGATTTGACTCTCTCATTGCTGACGAATTTGAACCTTTGCCCTGTACACCTTTCTCCACCAAGTAAACCATCAGTAACGCCCAAGTCTTAAGGGCGGTCAAAAATGGGGTGTCTACAAGCATAATGTGATATCGTTGATAAGAAATATGCTGTGATGCAAGTTCCATGCAATGTGACAAAAAAGATATACAAAAGTGATGCTATCGAAAGCACCCTCACAGGAGAGGTGGTAAGGAACACCATACACCGGGATATGCCTTGACATATCCTAAGATAAAAATTTATGTCTCATGTATCTTGAGGAGAGGAAGCTGCTCAAGAACGTGTTTATGTCTCAGGAACGTGTTTATGTCTCATGTTACAGGGAAAGGAAACCATTTGGGAACATAGTTCACGTGTCTAGAGAAAAGAATGACGAGCAAAGATCCTAAATACGCCTTGGCGTGAAAGGATAAATAGTATAAGAAAAACACATGATGCAAAAATATACAATGAGTGCGATAAACATGGATAAAAACAATGCTCTAAAGCAAAGTAAAGCAAAGCAGTGTTATTTTGGAAAAACACCTCACATTTCACTCTCCGACTTACAGTACGGAGGTCTCCTACTGCTTACAAAAGGATTGGCTAAAGTTATACCTCTTGAAGAGGAGTTACTCTTTTGTTCACAAACCACAAGATATTCACTCTCAAGGGCTGATATTTTAGCTCAAGAATCTCAACAAGGAGCCTCAAAATATTGGTTTAGGAAGTGTATGTATAGTGTATGTATATTGCAAGATAGAGAGGGAGAGTGTTCAGCAAGGTTTGGGCACTTGGAGAATTTTTCTAACCCCAAACCATGAGGGAAGGCCTTGTATTTGTAGAAAAACAAGTTCTCTCGTCGGAAATATCAACAAGGAGACAGTTGGTGCAAGGCATGCACATGGGGACAATTGGCTGGTGTCAAAATATCTGCTAGGTTGAACATGGCCGGCTGACCATGAAGAGGGACGACCGACCCAATGAAAATGGCCAACTAGCCATTTGTTGGCCAACAGTTCTCTGAATGGTTAGGCTAGAAAAAATAAGGTTTTGTTCCAAAGGGGGTACAAGGTTTAGGTTTTAAAGCTAAAACCAAAGCCTTTTGCTAAAGAAATTGAACGGTTGCACAGCGTAATATTTCATCATCGAGTGAGACAACTCTTGACACAACGGATTCGGCATAACGTCCGGCCGAACTCCAAGCAAGAAAACTCTTTTCTTTTTTTTTTATGTGAGTTGGTTCATTTTAAGCCAAATTCATTAGTCTTTACTATCCTTTAATCCATTGAGTCTAAGGTGATTGCTACGTCCACTAAAGGTTACGTCCACTAAGTGAGAAATATGTCAAATAGGAGGTGATTCTCAACATGAAAAAGAGACTAAACTGTTGGCAATGAACCTCTGCAGAGATTAAGCCATTAAGCGTAAATCGCTTGTTCACGCTTTGAACATCCATCAACCGATTGAAACAACTCTCAAATGAAAGTACAACCTGCCACCGTCACCCACCCATCCACCCACTCGCCACAACCCGTCACCACCCGTCACCCGCCACCCACCTGCCATCACCACCCATCACCTGCCACCACCACCACCACCACCCGCTCGCTACCGCCCACCACCCGCCACCGTCACACACCCACCCACCACCATCACATCCCACCATCACCTGTTACCCACCGTCGCCACTTTCCACCACCGTCTTTCGCTGCCATTTGCCACCACTTGCCACCACTTGCTATTTCTCACTCTTTTTCATATTTTTAAATTTTTTAAAATATTTTGTCAATTACCAAACGCGTTTGTAGTTTATGTTTTTTTTTAAAATAAACAAAACCAGTTTATAAAATTTTTGTAAATATAAATTGAAAACGTAAACATTACCAAACGCAATGACTTTTTTCGTTGACTTTTTTGACTTTTTTAGCGTGAGATTTTTTTGTTCGTTTGGTATTCTTGATTGGCTTTTTTGACTTTTTAGCATTGGAATAGTGATTTTTTTTTTTTTGTCTTTTTGTGATTTTTTGACCTTTTTTTTTTTTTTTATCCTTTTGTGATTATTTAGCCAAAAATGATAATCAAACATCACCTTAATCTATTCATGCCTAAATTATAAGCAAAAACTAGTAATTTCAAAATACACCAAATAATCTAACACAAACTTCTAAATTAAAATAAATTATAAGGTGTTTGTATAATTCCCACCAAACACATTTTTTGGGTTGCAAAAAAAACAAATAAATAAATAAAAAAAAGAAGAAGAAGAAGAATTTGAAGGGTGGGTCGGGTTCACCCGTTTTCGGTACAGGATCCGATTCCCGGGTTCTATAGGCCTCGAAATTCAATCACTCATTCGCTCCCCTCTCTCTCTTCGACCCTTCTCTTCTCTCTCTAGCATTTTCTCTTCGCACTTGCTTCGATTTTCTCTTCATTCTCTAGAATTTGTTCTGTTCTCCGAAGTTTATCTCAGCTTCGTATCAATCTTCAATGATTTGTGTTTGATTCGTTCATTTATCATCGCATGCTCACTTCAATCTACTTTAAAGTTTTCGAAAATCCTAACCCTAGTTTATACGCTTCGAAGAGTTCCTTAGCAGCTTCCAGAAAATTCGGTTGCTGGATCTGAATATCACTCACCGCTTCAATAAAAGTAAGTTTTTTTTTCTTGTGTTTTGCTTTGATTTACGCAGTTCTGGAACCCTAGTTTTGATTCAGATGTGAAATTCGCGTGAATGTAGCAAACTTTGGGGTTTTTCTTGTTTGCGGTTTTTTTTTTTCTTTTCTTGATTTAATTTCGTTACTTGTTTTCATCTTTCTCGCTTTTGCAAATGAATCGGAAACTGAAAAAGGTAAAACAAAATTAAATTAATGTAGTTGATAAATAAAATAGAAATTAGAAAGCAACTTCGAGAAACCCTAGTTTTGCCTGAGATGTGAATTTCCTATGAATGTAGAACGCTTTGGGGTTTGTCTTTTTGGGGAAACAGTATGATTTTTAAGTATTTTAGATAGATTGTGTTCATGCTTGTATGTGGTTTTATTATTATTATTATTATTATTATTATTTTTCAATTTTGAAGTTTAAGAGAGACTCAAAGTTGAAACTTAGAAGACTTATGTGTTTTTAACTTCATAAAGAGCTACTGAGCATCTCCAAGGTTTCCTTTTTTTTTTGTTTTGTTTCCATCAAATTTAAATTTGATGAAATAAGTACAGTTTTGCTGCTCCAACCATGAACTCAAACGCATATCAAATGAGGAAACCAAAAACTTTCATCAAATTGACGGAGGCTTGAGCGTTTTATCAAAGTGAGAAGGTAGCCATTATTGTTGCAGGTAGCCATTGAGGCATCACAGTACACTGGATGACCATCCAAACATCCTCCCGGTTGACCCAGAGGATGTCCGGGCGGTCGTTTGGCCTAGTGTAAATTTTCTTCAAATTTTCTCTAATCTGGTCGTCCACTCGATTTTTCGGCCGGTCATCGATCCGGTCATCCACCAACGAGTATCTGCGAGATTTGAAGAAAGATTAAACGCTCTCTTGATCTGATGAAAGAAGTAGGACTCCCTTTATTTGGTACCAATTTGGTGAAACAGTTGGAACATTGTTTTCACCAAATTTTCATTAAATTTGAATTTGATGAAATATTTGAGTCTGGGTTGGAGATGGTCTTACTCTATTTCTTGATTTAGTTTACTTGTTTTCATGTTTTGCACACTTGCGGACGAATCATTAGCTGAAAAAGTTTTTTGAAAAAGGGAAAAAAAATTAAATAAATGAAATCGATAATAAAAATAGAATTAAACTTGGACTTGAACGCAATACGATACAACTTTATTTGGTTCCTGCTTTTATACCTCCCCAAAAGATAAAATCATGTGAAAATCATGAGTATTATTTATTTTTCCATTTTTACACCAAATTAATTAAAATATTTTTTTTTAGAAAATTTCAAAATATATATTTTTTTGTTTTTGAAAATCAAACCAAATGGAGCAGACTTTTTGTATTTTCTTCAAATATCATGAAGTTGCATGTAATATATTAGAAGTTAAATAACAATGTCCGTGGGTGGTATTCTCGGCAAATCTATCCAACATGTGGGACTCATAAAGTAATTGCACGTGTAATATATATGCGCATATGTCATTTGTATGTGTCATGTGCCTTATTAATTTTGTGTTCTCTATTCTTCTGATAGCTTTGACTGCTTTTGTTCATGGAGATTTTTAGTGGATGGAGTCATTCTGACATCAAAGGTTGTTGTACCCTGAAACAAAAAGATATGATTTTTTTCACTAGATTGGCATTGAATGCTATGCTAATGATTTGATTATGACTCAATCTGGAACTTTTTAGAAAATTTCAAGTTTATTGATTTAAACCCTGATTTCTAAATCTAACAACTCAAAATGAATTCAATTAATGTCAACCTATTTCCATATGGAAAGAATGAAGGGACTGATTATTATTTGTTATTTCTTGCAGTTTATGCTTACTGGAAAACTAAAACTGCTAAATCATCAAGGATTCAAGTACTACACCTATACCATTTTCAATGGCTGAACACCGAAATGGTAATGCAAAAACTACTAATGGCAAGGCATCAGGAGGGGCCAGTGCTTACTCCATCAATCTGGAGAACTTTGGGAAGCGTTTAAAAATGTTATATTCGCACTGGAATGAATACAATAATGATCTGTGGGGTGCTTCTGAAGTTCTTGCAATTGCAACGCCTCCGCCGTCTGAAGACCTGCGGTATTTGAAATCATCAGCTCTGAATGTGTGGTTGGTTGGTTATGAGTTCCCTGATACAATTATGGTATTCATGAAGAAGCAAATCCATTTCTTGTGTAGCCAGAAGAAGGCTTCTTTACTTGAAGTTGTGAAGAAGACTGCGAAGGAGGTTGTGGATGCAGAAGTTGTGATGCATGTAAAGGCCAAAAATGATGATGGAACTGCATTAATGGATAGCATATTCCGTGCTGTTGCTCAGTCAAAATTAGATGATCATGATATCCCTGTAGTTGGATATATAGCTAGAGAGATTCCTGAAGGGAATCTTCTGGAGATGTGGGCTGAGAAACTAAGGAATGCAAATTTCCAGCTCAGTGACATTACAAATGGATTTTCAGACCTATTTGCCATGAAGGACAGTGTTGAGATTACAAATGTGAAGAAAGCTGCATACTTGACTTCATCAGTGATGAAGCATTTTGTGGTCCCAATGCTTGAAAAAGTTATTGATGAGGAGAAGAAGGTTTCCCATTCTTCTCTGATGGATGACACAGAGAAGGTTATTCTTGAACCTGCAAAAGTTAAGGTGAAGCTGAAGGCAGAAAATATTGACATTTGTTACCCTCCTATTTTTCAGAGTGGAGGAGAGTTTGATCTCAAACCAAGTGCTTCTAGCAACGATGAGAACCTTTACTATGACTCTACTAGTGTGATCATATGTGCTATTGGATCCCGTTACAACAGCTACTGTTCAAATGTTGCCCGAACTTTTTTGATTGATGCAAATGCTTTGCAGAGCAAGGCTTATGAGGTTCTTCTCAAGGCCCATGATGCAGCAATTAGTGCTTTGAAACCAGGGAATATGGCTGCTGCTGCATACCAAGCAGCCCTCTCAGTAGTTGAGAAGGATGCGCCTGAATTGGTCGCAAACTTGACAAAGTCTGCAGGGACTGGAATTGGCCTTGAGTTTCGGGAGTCGGGGCTTAGTCTTAATGGAAAGAATAATCGGCTATTGAAACCAGGCATGGTTTTTAATGTGTCACTTGGTTTTCAGAACTTGCAGTCTGAGACCAAGAACCCAAAGACCCAAAAATTTTCTGTTCTGCTTGCTGACACGGTTATTGTCGGTGAAAATAGTCCGGAAGTGGTGACAACTGTGAGTTCTAAAGCTGTGAAGGATGTGGCATATTCATTCAATGAGGATGAAGAAGAAGAAGAAGAAGAACAAAAGCAACCACCAAAACTCAAAACCGAGGCTAATGGATCCAAGGTATTGCCATCAAAGGCAACCCTCAGGTCAGTCAACCATGACATGTCAAAGGAGGAGCAGCGAAAGCAACACCAGGCAGAACTTGCCCGGCAGAAGAATGAAGAAACTGCTAGGAGGCTTGCTGGTGGAGGTTTTGGGATGATGGATAATCGTGGTGCTGCGAAACCATCTGGTGAATTGATTGCATACAAGAATGTTAATGATCTACCGCCTCCAAGAGATTTGATGATTCAAATTGACCAGAGGAATGAAGCCATCCTATTACCAATTTATGGAAGCATGGTCCCTTTCCACGTTGCAATGATAAAAAGTGTGTCTAGCCAGCAGGACACAAATCGTTCTTGCTATATCCGAATCATCTTTAATGTACCTGGCACCCCTTTCAATCCACACGACACAAACTCCCTGAAATTTCATAGTTCTATTTATGTTAAGGAAGTGTCATTCCGCTCGAAGGACCCAAGGCACATAAGTGAAGTGGTACAGCTCATTAAAACCCTCCGCAGGCAGGTTGCCTCCAGGGAGTCTGAGAAAGCTGAGAGAGCAACCTTAGTTACTCAGGAGAAACTTCAAATTGCAGGGGCCAAATTTAAGCCAATAAGGTTGTCTGATCTATGGATCCGTCCCGTGTTTGGTGGTCGTGGGAGAAAGCTTCCTGGTACATTAGAAGCTCACACTAATGGGTTTCGGTATTCAACTTCAAGGGCAGATGAACGTGCGGACATTATGTTTGCTAACATCAAACATGCATTCTTCCAGCCAGCAGAGAGGGAAATGATCACTCTGCTGCACTTTCATCTGCATAACCACATAATGGTGGGAAACAAGAAAACAAAGGATGTGCAGTTCTATGTTGAGGTGATGGATGTGGTCCAGACACTTGGAGGTGGGAAAAGATCTGCCTATGATCCTGACGAAATTGAGGAAGAACAGAGAGAGAGGGACAGGAAGAACAAAATTAACATGGACTTCCAGAACTTTGTAAATCGAGTGAACGATCTATGGGGCCAACCCCAATTCAAAACACTTGATTTGGAGTTCGACCAGCCCTTCAGAGACCTTGGCTTCCATGGTGTACCCCACAAAGCTTCAGTTTTTATTGTGCCAACTTCAAGCTGTCTAGTTGAGCTCATAGAGATACCGTTTGTGGTAATCACTTTAAATGAAATTGAGATAGTTAACCTGGAAAGAGTAGGTCTTGGGCAGAAGAATTTTGACCTGACCATAGTGTTCAAGGACTTTAAGCGGGATGTCTTTCGGATTGACTCTATCCCTTCAACCTCCCTAGATGGCATCAAGGAGTGGCTTGACACAACAGATCTCAAGTATTATGAGAGCAGGCTAAATCTGAACTGGCGACCCATACTGAAAACAATCACTGAAGACCCAGAAAAATTCATCGAGGATGGTGGATGGGAATTCTTGAACATGGAAGCTAGTGATTCAGATACTGACAACTCGCAAGAGTCAGACAAAGGGTATGAGCCCTCAGATGTGCAATCGGACTCAGTTTCAGAGGAAGAGGATGATGAGAGTGAGTCATTGGTGGAGTCTGAGGATGACGATGAAGAGGACTCTGAAGAAGTCTCGGAGGAAGAAGAAGGGAAAACATGGGAAGAGTTGGAAAGGGAAGCAAGCAGGGCAGATAGAGAGAAGGGGGATGAATCAGACAGTGAGGACGAGAGGAAGCGAAGGAAGATAAAGCCTCCTTTTGGGAAGGCTCGGGTGCCTGATAAAAGACCGCCCAGTGGCAGCCTTTCTAAAAGGCCCAAATTGAGGTAGACAGAGAGGAATGGTCACTCCTAATCATGCTCTTACCTTTTTAAGCTATGCAGTGCCATCAGCAGGCTGCAGGTGTGAATGTTGCTTGTCTAGCCAAATGTGCAACAGGTCTTGTCACAAAGATAGATGAATAGTTCATGGCTGTTCTTTGTTCTCACGTGTTGCAGACTCTTAGTCTTGTAAGATAGTTGCAACTAGGTTTTGTTGGGTTGAGTCTTGGTCTTGAGTTTAGATCTGTAAATATTTTGTATATTTGAGTTTAGATCTGAGTGTATAGATCTGTAAATATTTTGGGCAAAGATAGATGAATAGTTCATGGCTGTTCTTTGTTCTCACGTGTTGTAGACTCTTAGTCTTGTAAGATAGTTGCAACTAGGTTTTGTTGGGCTGAGTCTTGGTCTTGTAAGATGATGGGAATTAAATTATAATGACAAACTTGCATCTTCTGGTTATTCCTCATGGTGTGTTAAATTTTGTTTGGCACCTGTGCACACGGATGCACTGCATTCCATAGAAGTAACAGTTGCAGGTGAAGTACTGCAGGTGAATGACTGCAGCTCATTCTGAATTGTTTTGTCATGATAGATATAGAATTTTGATATATGGTGCTGGAGCTTCTTTTCCTGTGGATACAGTGCGTAGAGTCTTATAAAGGAAATTTTTTTGACCACTCAAATCATTAGTGAGTTTTCAGCTTTCAGTCTAATTGGAATACCTAGAATTTTTATTTTTATTTTTTATCTTATAGCCGGAGCTGTCTTCAGAATACTTCTTTTTGGAATCAGATGCTTTCGTTTCAGGTGAGTACTTGGAACTTGAGAAAGGTTTGTATTTCTGTTTTTCCTTATCTTTCCCCAGAATTAAAGCAAAAATGGTTTTCTTTCTTTGAGAAACACTTGGGGATCCATCCATACTTATTTTTTCCTTTTTTTTTTTTTCTCTCTCTTCCTGTTTGGGGTATGTATGCATACAATTTGCTTGGCCCTAGATAGATCACAACAGTGAAAACAGTATTCCTGATGCTAACCTCAAATGGTTCAGCTGAGACTTTGTTAGTAGGTTGTGTATACAAAGTCAATTGTTTTGTTATGTTATGTTTGATAGTAGCAGATGTATATTTCCTTTGCTTGTTTTATATTTCCTTCAATTGCTGGGTATGAAAATCTCATGTTCACTACAAGAAAAATAATGTGTCACGGCCCTTTTTTGGTGTTTCCAAAAAACGCTGTCAAAGTCATTTAAATACAGCGCCTTTTTCAATGCCAAATAAATGCAGTAAGACAGCATCATTTTGTACGCTGGTCAATGAAGAGTTGTGGGACGACATTTCTGAAATGTTTTCCAAGCGGGTATCATTTTATGCACTATAAACTATGTATAACATTTACTTTTTCAAGCTGGCCTTATAATTGCTCTTATCTGTCTTTATCTCCACAACAGAACTGAGAGAGTAAACGCTAATCCTTGAAACCCTAGAAGAGATGGAGGCCAAAGGCAGTGGAAGGAGGCTTAAGGTTAGGGTTAGTAGATTTCTTTCTCTCTCTAATGACACAAGGTCTTTGTGAAGAAGGCCTACTTAATGAACCTAAAGAGTTTTTTGTTAAAATGGAACAGAATGTTGCTTGGCAGATGATGTCACTTACAACAATATTATCTGAGGATTTATTGGACAACACAAGTGCTATGAGGCATTAATACTCGTTGAGGAAATGGGTCAAAGGGGTTTTTCACCAGATGCATCCACTTTTCCTTGATCGTAGAAATACTCTCAACTAAAGGACAAGATCGTGCTCTACAGGATGTGATAAAGAAGTTCATGCCAAAGATAGTCATGGAATGCAAGGGATTGAGTAAATTTCTTAAGCAGTGAAGGTAAAACTACATTTATACTGAACCATATAGTCTATTCTTAAGTGAAACTCTTTTCATTTTCATTTTTTCTTTTTATTAATGTGTTCTTTTCACTTCCAAATATTACATTTTGTAGCCATAAGCATTTGGTTACTTCCAAAGGAAAGCAGTGATCAAACATGTTTACCTCAACTCAGATAAAAAAAAAATATTTATCTCGACTCTTCTTTTATTTCCCTTTGGTTGCCTCTTTTGCTTAGATACTGTAATACAAATCTGATACTGACGAATATTTCGAGCATAACCTCTAGTGACATTAAAATTGATCCACTCTGTGTCATCGTACGTTCATTTCCTTCTTACTCTCCTCCATATGATGGTATTTTATGAACTCCAGTAGCCTTCTTTTTTTTTTTTTTTCCATGTCCTGTTTCTGCAATATTCTCAACTGTTTCATCTTGGTCGACTTTTTCTCCTGGTATCTTAAGAAGGTTCCAACACTTAAATACTTGAGACTTTAGCTTGGACCAAGTAGACCATTGGTCACTAGTAGAAGATTAAAATTTTAAGGCCTGGATATGCATGTATTTTCATGATGATCTTCACATCGAGGAAGATATATATAGGATTTTATACGATTTGTTATTTGTCCTCTTTTTAGGCTTTAATGACGTCTCCCTTTTAAGGGGATTCCTATGTTTTTTATTTCTAGAGATGTAAGAGTTATGTCATTTTGTTTTTGTTTTATTCCTTTTTCTTTTTTCTTTTTTGTTGTAATTTTCTCTCTTTTTCTCATAGTTAGGGGTTGTTTGGGATGATCTAAATAAGTGCATTTTTTGACTTTTTACGAAAAAACATAAAATATGGGTTGAGTTTGAAGTGATGTGGTAGAGAGATGATGTGATTTAAATGAGAAGATGTGACTTAAATAGGATAGTGATTTTTTGATTTTTTGATTTTTTTGTATTATGCCAAACTAGGCCTTAATAAAATTTTGAGGTTTTCAATAAAAAAAATAATATGAAGTACCCCTTTCTAATACAGTTCAAGAACTAAAGGGGTAATGTTGTTCTTATGGGATTGTTGAAGAAATATAATATACTTTGGAAGCCTAAAACAATGGCTATGGGGATCAAGATCATCCATGAGCCTTTTTGCTCCGAAGGAAAATAGAGTCCTAATTTTTGTTTAATTATAGTTCTTTTTTTCAGTTTTTTTTTTTTTTGGAAGCCAACGATGCTTTGATAGTTTTTCATTTTCTGGACATGGTTGAATTATGGTCCATAGATCTCCTTTTGTAAGTTAATGTTATTAATTCTATAAATGATCTGTTATTTGGTCTGGTCAAAGTGTCTTCGATTCCTAGTTTCTACTCTAGGGGAGCTAATAACTAATAAGAGAAGCCCAGCAGATATATCTATGTATGAGCTTATTTGTGTGGATTTTAGGGAATATGAGATTACTTTAGTTTGGTGAAACTCAACTCCTAAGAGGATGAAGCACACGGACTCTAATCAAGATTTCTATGTTCTTTACTATTTCTTCCTCATATTCTTTCTTCCTCTATTCAACTCTTTCCAACCTTGGAATCTTGTTCTCATAAGCCTAATCCTTAACAAAAACTTGGCCCAAGCAATTAAAAACCACATGGGAAAAAAAAAAAAAAAAAGGAAAAAAAGAGAGAACTGAGGCGGAGTTGGTATTCTCAGATTATTGTTTTGTCTCAAAATAGTTATTGTTCGTTGCCAAAACTCTACCGACTACACTACCTAGTCCTAATGAACCCCCACAGTTTCGCTATTTGCTGTCCTGTTTTTTGATTTGTTTTCCTGATTTTTCAGCCGCTTAATGGCAATAAGTTTAGCAGCTTATCACATTTGAATCTAATCCTATCTCAACTCTCTTTTATCCTCAAATTTGTACAGACTTTCTTTTATCTTTAGAATAATGAAACCACATGCTTTCAAAAACTTTAAACCCATGAGCTCTCTTTCATTCCCACCTCTTCCTTCCATTTTTTAGAAACCTTAAACCTAAAGGCTTTTTAAACCTTTGCCCACCATTTGTGAGATGCACTACTTTAAGTCTATTATCTGTTTTCTCTTCATCCATATCTTCTTTTGTTATGCTGATTTAAAAGCTTATGTGACTGAAATTTTTATCATAGCAGAATTTTTTGCTACAATAGTGTAAAGAAGGTAATTATCCACTAGTAGTACCAATGCGGGAGGTAGAGGGGCTACATAGTAGAATTTTTATTATTAGAATTCCTATTTTATTTTTCATTTCCTGTTAGCTTTTGTGATAAAACTGTGTTTCATTGTTGAATCATCTTATCGGCATGAACTACCTGGAATAACTATTCAGCAAAGAACGTTGCGTAGACCGCACTTGTCACCCATTCTCTTCCCTTATGGATTGCACTAGTTACGACCTTTGCTACCCTTGTATACTATTTCATTGTGAATTGTTTTGTTTATAGCTGTGACATATTCCTCTTTCTTGTTTGTTGCAGTGCTTCTAATATTTGCTGCCTTCCTCCCTTTTCTCCTCTATATGATGAAATTTGGTAAACATTTGTACTCTCTCTCTCTCTCTCTCTCTCTCTCTCTGTGGGATAAAATCAAATGCATGAAGGAGTATGTGAATTAATGAAGGCCCTGCTGTTGAATTGCTTCTTGTGTAACATGTTTGTTACTTGTATGTATGATTGTGGAACTGGGATCTTGAAACTCTGTAGTTGAAGCTTAATACTTCAAGTCTTGCTGGGTTAAGGTATATATGTCATGGTAGATGTAAAATTTGTCTTTGTTGTGAGAGAAGTTTTCTAGTCTTTACTATAAAGAAAGTTGTAAATGGAATATCGTTGGAAGAACAATGTAGCCGGATAATGAAATCTCTTTTAAAAAATACAAATGATCTGTGAGGCTCCTGTTACCCTCATCAATTTTTGTTGTGTAGATCTACCAAATAAAATGCTTTTTTGTTTTCTTAAAATATCATGCTTTTTTATTTTTGTCACCGTTAGTAAAAAAATCCGTGTCTAGAAAATTGATCTATTTGTTTTTGAAGTCCAAGATGAAGCTCAAGAGTTGCTGTAATTGTAAAGCTTGGTTTCACTCACAGTATTTCATGTTGAGTTTGGATATTAGATTTGTCTAGGGATTTCTAGTGTTAAAAAAAAATAAAAAAAGGAAAGAAAAGATGTGAAAAGGAAGTGAAGTTTAATCTGTGTGTGTGTGTGTGTGTGTAGGGGATGGTAGTATAATAAATCCCTTAAGAGGATGATTGGATTCCACATTTAAGTAACCCATTGAAGGGGAGGGGGCTAGGTAGCTATTTCTCATCTCTATCATTGGCTCATTTCATTAACCATCAGGCACAGAGTTGAAGAATGGATCTCCTTTGTTTTTTCCTCCAGGTTGTATCAATATGATAACTTCAATTCACTTATCAGTGAACCCGAGCAAAGATAAATTGATTTGGAGAGGGGTACATTCCTCCTCCAAACCCAATGTCAATGTATCAGTTTGGAAGGGATTGTGGCAGTTTCACATCGCTGCTAAATGGTCTGTATTCATCTGGAAATGTTTGCACAACATTCTTCCAGTTAGATGGAATTTGAAATGAAGGGGAAGGGGAATTGACGTGGATCCTATTGTCCTCGTTGCCATTCAGCTACGGAAACCATTGAACGTTTATATTTTGAATGCAATGAATCACAATACATTTGGCGAGGATCACGGTTGAGGTTAGATTTTACACAAGGTGAACTGCTATCTTTGAAGAAGTGGTTTTATCAATGGGTGGAGGCTGTAAAAGACGAGGCTGTAGTCATGTTGTCAGTAGTAATTTTATGGGCAATATGGGGGACAGCAGAACCAGCTGGTTTTTAATAATATTTTGGAATCACCATTTTGCAATCGATTCAGATGTTGGAAGTTAGGCTGGAACAAAGCAAACAATTTCATTTTCTTTTAATGATACGCGTTGCCCTATGATAGCCCTATGGATAATGATACGAATTGCTGTCTTCTTGGGAATTCTCTTGCTCGTAACTCTGAATTTCAGGTCTGGATGTTTTGGTTGATGGAGCGTGGAAGTCGCAAAGCTGTCAGGCTGCATATGCTTTGGGTTTACTATGATGAGAATCAGGAAATGGTGGATCGTCGAGTACAGCACACTCATCTTGTGTTGCCACTAGTTGCGGAGGCAAAGGCATGTTTAGCTGCCTTTCAATGGGCAAAGGAACGGCAATTGCAGTGTGTGTTTTCTCAGATTGTCAAGTTTTGATAAATACCTTGAACGGTGCTGGGCTTCCCAAGTGGAGTTCTGCTTCGGTCATTCAGGATATTAGAAATCATGCTACTTGTTTTAAGTTTCTTTGTATTTCGAAAGTCATAGATCTCTTGTGAGTCGGCTTCTGTGATCAACCTTTGTTAACTAATATATCTAGTTTTTTGGTTTGATCAAAAAAACAATCTCTCCCTCTCTCTCTCTCTCTCTCTTTTTTCTTGGGTGATTTTATTTACACATTTTACTTGGTTAGGTTTTTCAAAAAATACTTTTCAGAAAATTTTACTTTCTTGTTTTTCGTATTTTTTTTTAATTTTTACTGAATTTTTTTAATATTTTAAGCAATTTTTTTTTTGTACTTTTTAGACATAGCTAACATAAATATACTTAAAAAGTAAAAAATTTGTGAAAAAAATCTTTTAAAAATTCACTAAATACCAAAAATATAAAAAAAAAAATACAGGAATTTAGTACATATTTTATATTTTTATGTATTTTTTAAAATATTTTTTCACAATTTTTTTACTTTTTAGATACATCTAAGTAAAGTGTATCTAAAAAAAGTGTTTAAAATTTTAAAAATATTAACTAAAAACAAAAAAATACGAAAATCAAAAAACTCAGTTTTCAAAAAATTTAATCCAAAAAACTTAAACCAAACACACTGCTAGTTCTCTCAATACAAATCATTAATAGATTAAATTTATATTTAAAAAATATCCTAATGAAATGACCATTAAAGACAACATGAGGTGTATTCTACCCATTTAAAAATTTTATATTTAAAAGTACAGAATACTCTTTACACACCATCAACTCTATAGGGTTCATAATTTTAACATATAAATATTATATTTCTTCATCATCTTCTCCATTAACATACACTCATGATATCATTTATTATCAATTAACTCACTTCATCATCTTCTCTATTATACTTATTTTTCAAACTCAAAACATTGCCTTTGAAAATTTAGAGTTTAAGAATATTGAAATCAATTAGTTTTTGAAGATTTGCACACGATAGATGACATTGAGGTAGTTGGTTCCGATATAAATATTGAAAACGCTGATTTGAACATTGAAAAATGTAGTTTATGACTTAATGTTTTGATTAGTTATTTTTCTCGTTCGTATATTGGGAAGATGAATTTGTTCGTAGTGTTCGGATAATCAAAGTTGAGCTTTTATTTTACAAAATGTTCAATTATTTATATTTGAACAAAATAATTTTGTTCAAATTATTAAGATTGACCACATATTAAATGTTCATACATAAAAAATTGAACATTTTAATTTAGTTTGGTTAAAATAAATTAACTTTTATTCATTGTTCAGATATAAATTTTTGAACACGTTAAATTTGTTTAACTTTGCATTCTTGAACATGACTAATTTGATGAATTGTTAAATTTTTTACAGAATTCTATACCCACCCAACGTAGAAATGTTAAAAACTAACTGTGTTCTTAATTATAAAAGTGAATTTGTTACTAAAGAGATACCCTCATGTTTCATCATCTCCACCATTAATATACACTCATGAATCAATGGTGAGAATTCTAATCTAAAATGACAACGAGAGACAATAGTTTCACACTAATAATGAAGATCAACATTGGCGAAGATAGAGGCTGAATGAAACACTCCGTTGGTGATTTGAAATGATGAGACGACAAGATAAGACACGACGAGAGTTCAATACTAACTATAGAGATCAACACCAACGAAGATGGAGGCCAAATGAAACCTCCGTAGGTGATGGAGATCAAGACCGACGGAGATTGTGTCTGTTTTAAAGATTATAGGGGGTTTTAATTTGTTGTTTATAGTGGTGAAGATGAAGAGCTTTTGGTGTGTATTCAAATAGTTAGTGATATGTTAATATATGGTCAGTAATAAAAAGTTAAGGGATGAAATAAGATATGTTTAAATCTTAAAAATTATTTTGTGTGTGTAGCAATGGTTTGGTTATGTTTGGAAAATGAGAGTCACTTGTATACAAAGTTATCAAAATTTATATATATATATATATATATATGCGCTTAGTAAATGTAATGTAGGTGTATGGAAATGTTTAAAATACATATTTTCATTAATTTTTATGATTAAATTATATTTTTTCTGACAACTTTACTTAACAAAAATAATTAGATAGTTTAGATTGAAAATAAATCAAAATAATAAAATTTAAAATTTTGTTTTGTTATAAGACTTAAACCCTGATTTGTTTGTTTGTTTGTTTGTTTTTTTTATATTTTATTTATAATTTTCTCTTAATTTTATTTTAGGCATAATCCAATGCTATAAAACTAGAGGAAACTTCATTTCAGTGTAACTTGAAAAAATTATTTACATTTTAATGATAAATCTTACAGCATTAAAAAATAATTTTATAAACTTTTCTATGTATTTGAAATTATTTTTGTGGCTCAAAAGTGGCTCAAATTTTGTGGCTCAAATAGCCAAAACGACGTCGTTTTGAGTACAGAACAACATAAAAATGGCCAAAACGACGTCGTTTTGGCCATTTGAGCCACTTTTGAGCCACAAAATTTGAGCTACGAGACATTTTCCTTTAACCAAACACTATAATGGGTAGACTTAATTAAATTTTTTTTTTCCCAAAAACAAGAAAACATATATATATATATACAAGTTTAAAAAGGCCCGTGCAAGTCCCGTGCAAGGCACGTGCTATTATTACAATATATTTAAGTTTTGTATTTTGATAATTTTTTAAAAATTAGAATATTGTTTTATGAAATTAAATAGAATAAATCATTAGATATATGATAGAATTATGTGATATGATATGTATCATTTTTTGATTTGTTATACATCTAATGATGTAGACTCCAATTCCATTACCATATCATTTTGGATGAATTTATGAGTCTTTAACATTTCTTCCAAATTTATTAAAAAAAAATTATGGTGTATACTTTTTCTTAACAAATAAATATAAAACAAATATTAAGATAATTATCCCATCTAAAAAAAATTACTGAGATAATTCACTGAACTAATAAAGAAATAGAAGAAAATACATATATATACAAATGACTAATTTTATTAAGGGCGCTCGGTTAAAAAATCCAAAATTGAATTTTTCTCGGCAAGATATCCGGGAAATTCTATTTCCACACACCAAATTATCTATGTGTACATCTTTTCTCAATCCACATATTTAATAATTTGATTTTTATATTTTCATCTCAGTCCACATGCTTCATATTTCAAATATACCCTCACATTCTCTGTGTACATCCTCTCCTTCCATCCTTTCTCCCTCCAAAAACCTTAATTTTCATGAACATCAACTTTAGCCACACACAAGAACACGAGCTTGAGCAAAGCATCAATGAAAGAACACGACCCATTCTTAGAAACCTTTTGACCTTTGAATCGTTATTGGGTTTGATCAAGTAGTTCTTCTTCTTTGCACGAAGCCACTTCTTTGTCTTCGCTACAGTAGTTTGTTTCTTGGTACTAAAGGTGTGACTTCTGAGATATCTTTGTCTCCAAGCATAGCTCTTATGGAGATTTTTGGGTGGCCTTGCATAGCCAAGAGGAGAAGAAGAAGATGGTGATAATAATGATGATGATGATGATGATGAGCCTTCCTCTTGCTTGTTCTTGCTTAACTGTCTCAAGAATTCTTTATTTGCTTGTGCCCATTGATAAAGCTTCATGTGTCTTTTCTCCACTGGCAATGGAGATTGAACATCTAATATACACCTTTCAATGCAACTTTTGTAAACACAATTCCGTAAATTGCTTTCAATAGGTATATGATTATGTTTTGATATACGGGCTATATTTCTTCTGTTTAACTTTTGGAAGATTAATTGTTCAAATTTCATTTTCAGAACGAAGTCTGCCGATTGAAGAAGTTATACAATCTGGTGTTATTCTCCGCTTTGTATGGTTGAGGTTTGGGCATGGGAGGCAATGGCCGGCGGTAGCCGGTGGTGAAGTGGCTGGTGAGATGGTGGTGGGTAAGATGTGTATGGAGAAATTGTGAAATGTGTGGACGAGATGGCGGTGGGTGAGATGGTAATTTTGTTAAAAGATAAAATTGTAATTCTGAAAAAATTCATTAAGTTTGTGGAGTAAGGAAACTTGGTGTGTGTAAATAGAATTTCCCAAGATATCCAAATGTTTATTTTCTTTGTCCATAAGGACAAGCTATCTCAAAATGATGAAAATACCCCTCTACTTCACGTTTTTATCACTCTATTATGGTTACATTTCATCTCTCTCAAAAACAACAACAATCAATCAATCTCTCTCTCTTTCTCTCTCTCTCTCTCTCACTTTTTCTACCACCACCAAGCTGGCCACCGCCACTGCCACCGCCATCGCCACCGATCTTTCCACTCAATCTCTCTCTTCTAGCACTTGTCATGAACTCGGATCAGTCCGATCATTGGAGCCAGCAGCTTTGCCGCCGTTTGAGAGCTACCAAAAGTTTATTTTCGTCGCGATCTGTCTCCGATGGCATCTTCTAGATCCGCAGTCGATCTTCTTCGTATTCTCTCTCTCTTTCTCTCTCTCTCCATCTCAGATGTGATCTGTATCAATGAGAAACTGAAACTAAAATTGATAATGCCAGTTTCAATGCCAGTAACTCTGTAAAAGACAAACAGTTCGTTAGGTTTTTTCGCGAGGCTTGGCCTTACTTTCGAGCTCACCGAAAAGGAACCTTTGTTGTCATTATTTCGCTGAAATTATTGATAGCCCTTCCTTGAATCCTATTTTGATGGCACGTTTCTAATTATCTACTACTACTACTACTACTACTACTACCTATGTTTCCCCATATCTCTATATTTGTATGTGTAATATATATATATATATATATGTGTGTGTGTGTGTATATGTGATGAATAGTTTATTTTGCTTGTAATTGTAGCCTGAGTTGAATTTGTCTTAATTAATTTAATTGTTTAAAAATTACTATAATTTTTTTTTCTTTTTTTCTTGGAATTTTATCAGTTTTTGTTATGGACATGGATTGTGTGTTCTTTTCAATTTCACCAAGTTAAAAGACTCTAAACAAACTGTACTATGTGATTACCACCAGAATTCTTTGGCATATCTGTAAATACATGTGAGAATGAAAGAAAAATTATTGTTATAAACAGATCTATTGTGTTTTGTGTTTTTAATCTGTTGAAATTTTGAACAGATTCTAATATTTGTTCTATGTTTTGTGTTCTTTTTATCTATTTAACAGATAAAGAATTAACAAATAAAGGTTTGGAAAATTTTAACTAGATATTTGAACAGATAAGGGAAAAAATTTGAATAAACAGTTAAAAATATTTAACAAATAGTTAACAAATTTGAACAGATAGACACAAATTTTGAACAGATAGAAAATAATTTGAACAGATAGATGAAAATATTGAACAGATAGTCAAAAAAGTCAACATATAAATTTAGGGGTAAAATTGAAAACAAAATGTCCTTCAAAACAAGTAAAAGAATCTTTCACCAAACTATTCCACAAATTGTGGACATTTCACCAATAAAAAAAATACACTGGACCCAATGTCTTAGACATATTCTAAATTGGATTTATCACCAATTTTCTCTTTCATTAATACATAAATTTTACTCGCATAACAAATAACCAGTTTTATTAATAAGTAAATCAATAATTTTTAATGATATGAAAAATATTTTTTTGTTAATCATTTTGTTAATAAATAAATCATTAAATTAATTAACAATTTTTAATGATATGAGAAATAGTTTTCAATAAATAATTTTAATAATTTATCATTGCATAGGAGAATAGTTTTTTTTTTTTTTTCCTAAGTGTTGTGTTAAATTAAAATTTATAACAAACGACAGTTGTAATTTCTAGTATTATAAGACCAATTCATATTTTAAACAAACCTTATGGGTGTATTTGTAATTTGTTAAAAAAAAATTATATTTCATAATTGACAAAGAATGGTTGCGTAATTACGAAAAAAACCTGTTTCATAATTGACCAAAAATGTTTACATAATTATGAAAAAAATTTACTGTATAATTGATTAAGAATATTTGCGAGATTTCGAGAAAACTTTTACTTAACATATAAGCTACCATTAGTAAATTATTTAAAATAAAAAGACAAAATTGAAAAGGATAGACGAATTTTAAACAGTTAAGCGGTTTTATATATATAGATATAGAACTAAAGATTAATTCATAAATCTGGCTAAATCATGTGTAAGTTTATTTTCAATACGATCCACATAGCGAAAAAAGCAAGAACTGTCCTAATGTCTGAAATAATCATCGCTGCACTCCATTCCGGATCAGTGTTGCCCTTTAAAACATTCACCAAAACTTCACAATCCGTGAAAATAAAAATGCAAGAAATTTGGTTGCCCACCAAACAAGGATTAGCTTCTGTCAGAAAAGGAGATGGATGCCACATCGCAAATGCGACTTTTGTTTGTTCTTCACCATAGCAAATTCAGGTCACACCAGCACTACCACCATGAACTTTTCAGGATCTATCGATTATAACATCCAGACCTATAAATCATCAACATTTATGAGAGAATTCTTTAGAATACTGTGTTCATGATCCAAGTCATCCGTTAAATATGCGAATGGACAGCTCGACCTAGAGTTAGGCCTAAGGATCCCTTCTTCCCAACTATTCTTGTTCCCGTATCCTAAATCATTCACAATCATTGGATATGTGTTGAGATTATCAAATCTTAGAATTCTCATATAATCCAATAATTGTAAATGATTTAAGACGTGAAAATAAGAATATTTGGGAATCGAGAACCCTTGCTCCCAGAGTTAGACCCTCACCAGACAAAGGTAAATAAATCATTGGCCACATGAATTGTTTTAGGGGCAGTCCAGCAAATGTGTTCAAAAACTACGCTATTATGCTGTCACCAAATGGACCAGAGAATTGCTATGGACTGAATAACAATGTCCTCTTCCTTAATCATTTTCAGCTAATGCGAAATCAGGAAACCAAAATCTACTGTCAACATGAACATTATCGATTTGAGAATCTGTTGCTTTCACCATCATAACCAATTATTATTTTAGTACATAATTAATATCCATATCATTGTCTGTGGTACAACTTCCATTTTCATGTTTTACAAACAATGACAACCAACCAAAAAATAAATAAATTAATAGCAAGTTTTAAATAGGGTTAAAATATTGTTTGATTTAATTTTTAGAATATATCTATTAAATATTTGTATTAAAATTAAAAATTAATTTAGAAAAAAAATATAAAAAAATGAATAATTTTCATATAATATTTTATTTTTGAGAGAAGAAATAATTTTCAAACATTTAAAAAAATAATATTTATTTTTATCAAATTAATTTCTAATTAAAAAAAACAATCTCAGAAACCCATTTCTAAAACGTAATCTACTATTCCTACACTGTCTCTCTCTCTCCTCACACACACACATACACACTGAGCTGAGCTTGAAGAAAATGTCAAGAAGCAGAAGAGTTTCAGTTTCTTCCATTATTGGACCAAGAATTGCTCATAATTGTCAACAAGGTACAATATTTCCCTCTTTTTTATTTGTTGTGTTTGGTTGTTTTCTCTCTACTACCCAAAACCCTAGTTCTCCTTCTTCTCCTCCTCAACCTAAAAATTTACACACACACCGAAGCAATTCGCGGCAAAATGATCTCGAAGATGCTGTAAATTGGTTCAATTGCATGCTCCAAATGCGACCTTTGCCCTCCATTTCTCAATTCAATAAAGCTTTAGGAACTATTACGAGAATGGGTCATCACGCCTTTGCTCTTTCTCTTATTCACAAATTGCACTTCTTCATTGGCATTCAGGTGGATATTTACACCTTCAACATTGCTATTAACTGTTACTGCCGCCTCAATCGAGTCGATTTTGGGTTGTCTCTTTTAGGTTCCCTCTTCAAACGCGGTTTTACACCTGATGCATTTACCTTCAACACTTTGTTAAATGGACTTATTTTGGTAGATAAAACCCCTGCAGCTGTGGACTTATTTAAGAAATTAATGAGAATGAGAGAAATTGAACCCGACGTGGTTATGTATGGAACCATTGTTAATGGGCTTTGTAGAACGGGGAACACTATCAGGGCTGTTAGTTTGCTTAGGATAATGGAAGAGGGAAGTTGTAAACCTGACACCATAGTGTATACCACGATTATTGATAGTCTTTGCAAGGATAGAATGGTGGATGATGCTATGAAACTCTTTTCTAAGATGAATGAACAAGGCATTCATCGAGATGTTGTCATTTATACCTCTTTGATTCATGGCCTATGTAATTTCGGTCGGTGGAAAGAGGCTACCGAAATGTTAAAAGAAATGTTGAATAGCGGTATAGCTCCAAATGTTCATATGTATAATGTGTTGGTGGATGCACTTATCAAGGAAGGGATGGCGAAAGAGGCTGAGGAGTTTTTTGATGTCATGACACAAAGAGGTGTGGATCCTGATGTAGTCACATATAATACTCTAATGAATGGATATTGTTTACATGGCCACATAGATGAAGCAATGAGAGTGTTCAACAACATGGTGGACAAGGGCCTTCACCGTAATGTTTTTAGCTATACCATTCTAATCAACGGATATTGCAAGAAGATGAAAATAGATGAGGCCATGCATCTCCTCCGAGAAATGCCTCGAAGGGGGTTGAAACCTGACACTAAAACTTTCAGTGCTATGTTACAGGGTTTGTTTCAATTAGGTAGATGTGGTGCTGCTCAAGAACTTTTTAGTCAGATGCAAGTTGCGGGCCTAATACCAAATGCCATGACTTATTGTATCATGTTGGATGGGCTATGCAAAAACGGGCATATTTCTGAAGCATTGTCATTATTCCACATGATGGAAAGCAACGATTTAGATCTTGATGTTGCTATTCATAATGTTCTCATTAATGCATTCTGCAAGGATAAAAAACTTGATACCGCAAAGGCCCTTTTCTATAACCTTTCTTCCAAGGGATTACATCCTGATGTTAAGACATACACTATGATGATACAAGGCCTTTGTGAACAAGGCCTACTAGACGAAGCCAAAGAGTTGTTTGTGAAAATGGAACAGAATGGTTGTTTGCCAAATGATGTAACTTACAACATTGTCATCCAAGGATTTCTTGGGCAACAGAAGTACCATGAGGCGTCTATACTCCTTAAGGAAATGATTGGAATGGGGTTTTCAGCAAATGCATCTACTTCTTCCTTGATTGTAGATCTAATCACAACTAAAGGACAAGATCCCACTCTTCGAGAAGTGATAAAGAAGTTCATGCCAAAAGATAGTCATGGAATGCATGATATTGAGTAAATTTCTTAATTGTGAAGGTAAAGCTACACACATATTAAAATATTTATTATTAAGTGAAGCTCCTTTTTTTTTGGTTATATATTGACATGGGCTTATGTGTCTCCATCAACTATTTTGGACTTGCTGCTACATGACTTTGCAACATGTTTTCACATGTTGTAGATTCTTGTAGACTATTTGTTACCTCACTTTGCAGTATTTTAATTCACATGTTACAAATTCAAGTAGATTCTTTTTCAGTACCTATTGAATTATGTACAAGTGGTCATTTCTTAGGGATTTAGGACAAATGAAAGCCAGTGGTACTTTTGGTGATTTCTTTCTTAGGTATGTGGTCATCGACTAGTTCTCTAAAGCCGAATTCATGGTCTTAGTAGTTGTAGAAGATTAAATATCTCCGAATTTGGTGTTACTGTTGTAGTATGCTAAATTGGTTACAATAATGGTTGGTCTTTGTGCTCTATGAGATTTATACAAAGCTTGAGAGGCTTTACATCATAAGACAAGATTGTCATTGTTAAATGAAAGAAAAAATTTAAAATTAAAATAAAAAGATCAATGAATAAATCCATTTAGAAGGCAATTCTTGCCTTGTTAGGATGCCTATTGTTGTTTTATAATTTCCATTTATGTATCTTGTGCATAATGCCTCATAATTCGTTCACCTTGTCAAAAATTTTTATTCCCCTCTTTAGAAGGTTCATATCGCCGTTGCAATGCTAAGCACCACCACTCACATACCTCGGTGTAGACATAATTCAATGGCAAGAGCAAATTCCTGTTGAATTGACAACTGTTCCTTTTCTTCTAAGCTATTCAAATACAATATTATTTTTATATTATTCTATTGTTATTTATTAGTGCACTATATATTCTTGTGTTGATTGTGATGACTATCAGAAGTTCATCCATGTTTTTGCTCCAATTGAAGGTCAGGTACTGGTAATTGACTTGATCAACTAGAGTTTCAGCAAGCTTTACAAAGCTAAAGCTTTAAGTGAAAGCTCTTAAGGATCAGGTTTTGATCATCGATCTAGTTTTAATTTTCACCCTCATTCCGATAATGGTGCAGGGACTTTGTTAAAGGATCCAGGTGCTAATTATTGAGATTATTCAAATCCTTGATGGAGTTGTAAAGGCTGTATCATCTCGGACTGGGAAGGATTTCTTGTGTAATCAAGGAATTTGCGAAGAGGATAGGTTCAGGTATTTGTTTTCTTTTTGTGGTCCTGAGCATGACAAATAATATTTACTTGTACTACAACAAAAAAAAATAAAGTAATGACATTTTGATTGTTGATATGCTAGAGGCATGTGTAATAATAAAATCACTTGTTTTGTTCTGTAGAGATTGAAGCCAAGTTCTTGTCAATTTTGTGTGCTATTAGAAAAAATCCATGTATGTGGAAAATTGATCTCTCTTTTTGTGCCGGTAAGAACAAAGAAAACATTTCTTGAAAAACAGAGGTTCCTATCCTGGTAGTGGTTGACAAATTAGTATTAAGGATTCTCCCATCTCAACATGCCACTGTTTGCTATAAGAGATTGTAAATACAGTTTCATGGTTAACCCTTTGGCCTCTAATGCACACGATGATAATCTAATTACTGAGGAATATCTACCAAGGATGCTAGAAGCATTTTTGAGGAGATGGACTGTTTGTGGGATAGTGTTTGCCATTTAACTTCTTTTTGGCAGATGGACTGTTTGTGGGAGATGGACTGTTTGTGGGATAGTGTTTGCCATTTAACTTCTTTTTGGGATTCGGGAAATCCTCTATTTAAGGGGGTTCCACTTTTTTTGTTAGCTAAAGATTGGTTGGCGGTGTGTGATATGTAGGCTTTTGCTTAAGAGTTTCTTATTAGGGTTTTGCTTTGTGTTTTTTCTTTTCTTTTGTAAGAGGATGTCTTATCCTTACTTACTTTTTTGATTTATCAATAAAGTCCTTTGTTGTTGATCAAAAAAAAAAAAAAAAGAAGCATTTCTGAGGAGCAAAGTTGTATAAGAACTGAAGTCCAATGTAGATGAAGCTCAAACAAAAAAAAAGTTCCACACTGGATTTACATATGCTGTGGTTGTGCCTTGGTATGCCCTGTTTATAGCTTTTTAGGGATAATTTTTATGAATATATTTGATCCCAAATCCCCATGTTTACAGAGGTGACCTGTCTCCACGAAAAAGGGAAAATGGCAAGAAGAAAAAGTACAGGCTTACCCTGTTGATCAACCAACGACAAACTCTGAAAATCACTTCTTTCACTTGATTCTTCAAGAGATAGTTGTAATGTCCTTAAGAACATCCTACAGTGCATGGGTAGGTTCAGGTATTTGTTTTCTTTCCTTGGTCCTCTAGCTGTGACAAATAATATTTGCTACTTGTGCAAGATCAGAACAAGAAAAAAAGAAAAGAAAGCACACTAGAGGCATCTCTTCTGTAGAGATTGAAATCAAGTTCTAGTGTATAATATTTGCATGAACTTATGTTGAGTCCTGATGAATTTGTTGTTAAAGTGAGACCTTTGCATGTTAAGCAATCTCTGCAACCGAATGTGCACTCCAGAAAACCAACTTTAATATGTTTTAGCTGGATTGATGCACAAAACTACCTGTCAATGGAAAAAGTAAAAATGAAAGTCTCATGGCTAGTCTATTTTGTATCGTCGCCCTTTTATTTTTCACCTAGTTGAGCAAATACACTGACTTGTTCTTTACTTGAAAATTTTCAACAAGCAAAGCCATACCTGGTCTATTAGGTGAGCTACACGAACCCATTATTGCAATTCTTAGATAGGTCATACCTGATGGCTAGTTGTGAACTTGTAGTCCTGTGGTGGAGTAAACAATATGCACTTTCTGATCTCCTTAATCTTGGTTCTTTTTGGCATTTCCCCTTCCTTTGTATCACCTTTGGTTTGAGCTATGTTACTAGTTATAGGTGTTTATAAAGACCAGATTTCATTGTCAGTTTGTTCTAGAGATGAATAAAAACCCTTGAGATTTCATTTGAATGTCTAGTCAATATGAGTCTAATTGTGAGAGTTCCTTTCTTGGTAGAGGTTTTGTAATGCAATAATGTTATGATTGGCTTAAAGGTAACTTTGCTGGCCCCTTAACAAAGAAAAAAAGTGATCTTTATTAGTCACCCTTTTGACTGAGAGCTAGAGGAATTCATGCTAAACTCCTGTATGTTTATTTATAATTGCAAATATGTTAGTCTTCTTCTTCATTCTCTACTAGGAGATTGCCATGTTCAATGCAATTGCTCACTTAATACTTCTTTAAATATAAATGTAGCTACTGCCTGAAAACATATATCTATTTTGTGCAGGTAAGAGAGGTGAAATTGATGTTTCCCGGTTGATGTTCATAGAAGCTTTATGGCAACATCCTTCAACAGCTGTGTCTTGTAAAGAAATGTTCCCCGGTTTATACACAAATAGGAGAACAAGGATGGATACTAAACTAATTGACTGTCAATCAGAGGGTGCATGGGAGTAACTCAGACCTTTTGCATTTGCAATGATTCTATATGTAACTATTTTCCTTGGTAGAAACATGTACTTAGCATTCTTACAATTTCTGTACCCACTGAGCTTTGAACCACTCAGTTTACCAGGCATAGCATTACAAGTTTCTTTTTTCTAAACTGTTTGCAGCAAATTATGGTCTCTGAAATACTGGCTGGTGATTCTTTTTCTTTTGTTTTTGATGAGAGATTGCTTATAAGATTTTTTTCGTTTTTTTTTTTAATGAATTTGTTGTCAATTTAGATTTTTAAAATTGGTGATGGAATTTTTGTTATGTCATTATCTATGTTATTACATGCCTTCAAAGTTGCTTCAATGTTGATATGTATGTTATTTTTTTTATTTTTTATTTTTTTAGGGGGTGTGTGTGTGAATGAGCCATGTATGTGCAAGACATATATCTTTGGAAAGAACAAAAGAAAATCTTTTTGGGGACTCCCAAATGTTCTCAGGTTTACTTTGTAGATTTTCTTCTTTTGGGTGACTTTCAAATGTTCTCAGGTTTACTTTGTAGATTTTCTTCTTTTTGGGGACTTCCAAATGTTCTCAAGTTTCATTCGCTCAAATTATCTTATCTTTTCAAAGTTGGCATTTTCAACTATGGCAAACCAAAGGAATATTACATCATTTTTTTTATAACAATTTGGCTAGAGTATTGAAGCAATTTACCATGATGAATGAGAAAAACAGAAAAAAAGAAAAATAAAAAACAAAATTTAAGGTATTAAAAAATCTGGCCTTTTGTTTATTTATTTATTTGGGTTATTAAGCAAAATAGAAATGAGTTTACGTTAAAACTGTGTTTATGGTTGAGTACTGTTATTAGTACCTCAATTAATATTTTGGACTCTCTATTTTTTTGGACACTCACCTACAAAATCGAAGTCCTAAAATTTTTTAAGAACTCCCAAAACAATAATAAAATTATCATTTTAAAAACATTACACCCATCAAAATGTACACTTCTTAATACACTTTCTAAATTTTTTTTTCTCCCAAAACCTTTAATAGTTCAACTCACCAATCTTCCTCTCACCGTTGAGAGAGCTACGCCATTAAGAGAGTTGCGCCGCCGATATGTCATAGTCGATCTCTCACCAACAACCTCTCTCTACAATTGATCTCTCCGCTACCATGTTTGAACCTATGTTGCCAAACAAATTACCCATGTTTGGACCCGTGTTACCAAGCATTATAAAAACGTAAAGTCATGTGTCTGTGAACAAGTTTAACCCATCAAATTTTAACAAATAAAGATAGTATACATCAACCAGTTTGATTAACAAATAAAATTAAAGTTCATCGCATAACCAAAACATAAATATGCATTAAGGTTATATCCAAAATGCCGAGCATATGAATAAAAGTTCAGATCCAAAGTGCCGAACATATTAATAATGTTCAGTTAGACGTTGCTAAACCAATGCCTCCAATTCAGCTCTGTGTTGCCATTTTTTTGGTATATATATTTTTGGAATTCAATATTGACAAAAAGTCAAACCATTTAAATTTTTTTTTTGTGTGTGTGTATGTGTGTGTGTGTTTTTGAAAAAACTTATTATTATAAGGTCAACTTCTTTTAAGCTACAAATATCATTTAAACAGTAAATCTCCTCTGAGTTTACGTTGTGACTCTCTATTCATTTCATGGTATTGGGATTATCAGAAAAACTTTCACTCATTGTAATTGTCATAGAAGTGTGTACTATCAAATAGTTGTCTCCATAGCCGCTAGAAGACTAGTTGTCGAATTGATTTGAAGGTTTTAAGGGTGTGTAGATTTTGAGAATTTTGAATTGTGTGGGTGATAATGGAAATGGATATTTTTATAAATCCTATATTATAATTAGTGGGTGAGTGAGTTTTAATCATGAGATGAGATGTCATAAAGTAATTCATATCACTTTTAGTAATTTTATTTGAAGTCATTATTGTAATAAAAATAAATTAAAAATATGAAGAGTCCAAAGGATTAATTGAGGTGCTAATAGTAAGGCTCTTATGATTAAATAATAATAAAAATAAGGATAAATTACAAATACACCATTTGATGTTTGTTTAAAATATGAATTACCACATACGGTTTAAAAAATTAAAAAAAAACATAATTAAATGAAAAAAATAAAAGGCCTAATTGTTCTTCTATACAATGATAAAATTATCTGAATTATTAAGTAAAGTAAATTTCTAATAGGAGCATTTGCACACAAGTCTTAATTTATGAACTTATACTCCATTAAGTCATAATTAAGATTTTTTGGGCCTTCAAGTCCCATTAAATTTTAATGGTCGAAATTGCCCTTCAAATAATGATTGTTCATAATTTATGATTATCTATAAAATATGATGATTTGACATTTTTTTTGATTTTCAAAACATTTAAAAATTATTTTTCAAATTGAGAAAAATAAAAAAAAAAATTTGTGCAAAAAAAAAAACTAAATTATTTTTTTGGTGCAAAATTGAAAATTTTGTGTCTATAAAGGAGCATGATGATGGAACATTAATGTGCAAAACTGGGGAAAAAAAAAAAACTTTGAACATGAAAAAATTGATAATGTTCTCTGTTTTAAAACTGGAAAAAACTGTTAACGTTCTCGGTTTTATTGGATAGTTGAATCAAATCAATAAGTAGAAGGGTAAAAACGTTTAATCTCATACTTTGTTTTTTTATCAGTTAGTGAAACAATTATTTGGAACATCACTGTGCAAAATTAATAATATTCTTAGTTTTAAAAATTGAAAAAAACTGATAACATTCTTAGTTTTCGTAAATAAAACTTGTTGATTCAAAAAATCTTAAATAGAATCTGAACTACCATAACATTTATGAATAGGACTTTTAGGTAATTAATTATTTCTAATATCATTAAAAACTATTAATTAATTTGATAATTTATTAATAAAAGAGATCATTTGTTGTGAAATTAATAATTTTAAATGGAAGAATATAATTGCCAAAATTATATAGAACAAATCATATTTTAAGCAAATATCAATAGGGGTAAGCATGGTCCGGATTAGTCTGAATTGGGGTAAAATCAGGGCCAATCCGTTATCTACAATTCTTGAAAAATTGAAACCAATCCAATATGTTTAAATCATGGAACCAATTCGAACCAATCCATTTAAACACAGATTGGATCAATTTAGGGCTACGGATTCACATAATTAAATAACAAAAATATATATATAGAACATTTTAATTTCATAAAAACATAAACATACCGTCATATTAGTTCTATACAAAAATGTTTAAGACCCCCTTTCCTCCCACCCCCTTTGACCCCTTTTGCTTTTGATTGGTCCATTTTTCTTTTTCTTTTTCTTTTTCTTTTTCTTTTTTTTCTTCTCTCCCAATCCCCAACCCCCATGTGTGTGTGGGGGTGGGAGTTTTGAGGGGGTCTTAATCAGTTCTCTAGTTCTATAATAGTAACATGTCTTTTCGTGATAGCGACATACTGTTTTAGAATTTAAACAACCATAAGAAAACTGGTTTCACCATAAATATTTAGACCATTACAAATTAAAACTAAAAACTAACAAACAAAAACAATAAAAGAAGATATTATACAGGTTTAGGTTTGGGTTTAGGTTTTATATGAAATAAGAGAAGATACTATGCGGGGAGGGTATATAATATAAATATAGGCTATTTGTATACAGTTCGGATCGGTTCCAATCCGGAACCGTGGAGTTCAATCCGGAAACGATCCGTAGACTATGAATTTTTAATTTTTCAATTCGGAACTGAACTACGGATTTGAAAAACAAATCCAAACCTACCAGATTGGACTGGACTGGATCAGATTACGGATTTTACAGATTTTACGAATTCCTTACTCAGCCGTAAATATCAAGATTGTATTTATAATTTTACTCTAATAATAACAATAGCAATAATAATTTTAAAAAAAAAATCAACATCCACACACACAGATATAAATTTGAGTGTAAAATGGCTCGCGACCCGTGAATGGCCTGAAGTCCTCCCGCAGCCCAAGGTGGGCCCGACCTGATTAGGCCCGAGCCCGAGCCCAACCCAAGACCCTAGACTTGGGCCTGTGCCATCATTTTGAAGCCTAGCCTGACCCGTGGCCCGACCCGCCTGGTTCGGCCTATCGGCCCACTCAAGGCCCGGCCTGCTTGAGCCCTAGTGTCATTTTTGGTGGAAAAAAACAAATTTTTGGTGAAAGACATAGAAAATAAATAAAAAAATGTTCAAGTCTTACCCAAGCCCAAGCTCAAGCCCAGGCCCAAGGCCCGAATACCCCCTAGGCCTGAGCCTAATTTTTTGCCCCGGTCGGGAGCTCGCGAGACCCGACATGGGCCGACCAGAGCTTGGCCCAAGTGGGCTGGGCCAAATTTACATCCCTAGATACAAAGCTTGAAGAATAAGAAGAAGACATCAAAAATTGATGCATCTGCCATTATTAGAAGAGCAATAGCTTTTAATTGGCTATTAAAAGGTATGCCACCACTTTTTTCTCTCTTTACCAATTTTACAAGCCCTAGTTCTTCTTCTTCTTTTGTAATAACAACAGAATCAACGAGGCAATTCGAATCTCCACAATGCTCTTCATTCCTTCAATCACATGTTTTACATTTGCTTCCCATTTCTCACTTCAACAAAGCTTTAGGCCCTCTTTTGAAAATGGGTCATTACCACATCGCTCTTACTCTTATTGGAAAATTGTTGCGTTTTCTAGACATCTAGCTCAATAGCTACACCTTCAACATTATTAGTAATTGTTATTGTCCCCTTAATCGATTTTGGATTCACTCTTTTGAATACCCTCTTCAAGCGTAATTTTACACCTGATGTAACTAATTTCAGCACTCTGATAAATGGACTTATTTATTGAATAAAATACAGGAATGTATTGAATTTTTAAATTTTTTTAATTCAGTAATTTTTTTATAAATATTATAGAAATATATTTTTAAGTGCATATATAAATTTAGATGGATTAAAAAAATAAAATATTAAAAAAATAGTAAAAATTAAAAAATCTAATTTTTAGAAAAATAAATTATACAAAAGTAAGGGACTATAAGATGACAAAAATAACAACTATTTTCTCTCTCTTAGTCTCACGTCTCACACACATACACAGAGCTTAGAGCTTAGAGCTTAGAGCTTACACTAGGTTTGGATTGAGTGATTTGGAGAGAAAAGAAAAGAAATGGAGATATATGTATTTCTCTTACTTAGCCTCCGTTTGGGAAGTGGGTTGGCTTTTTGGCTTTTTGGTTTTTT